GGAGAGGCTGGGCCCGTGAGCCATGGCTGCTGAGCCTGCGCATCTGGAGCCTGTGCTCCACAACGGGAGAGGCTACAGCAGTGAGAGGCCCGCATACCGCAAAAAAAAACAAAAACCACATCCATCTGTCATGGCACAGTTTCCATGGGTCAGGAGTCCAGGCACAATAGAGTCCTCTGCAGTCAAGGTGTGGGCGTGGACAGGAGTCTCATCTGAGGCTCGACTAGGAAGGACCAGCTTCCAAGCTCACAAGCTGTTGCAGCACTCATCTCCTTGTGTGCTGCAGGATTGAAGCCCTCCGCTTCCGTCAGCCGGAAGCCACCCTCAGGTCCTCGCTGTGGCCCTCTCCATTCTGCAGCACGGTGTCTTGCTTATTCAAAGTCAGCAAGAGAGAGTCTCTTAGTGTTGCTGAAACTTGGCCTCTGTACACCGGAGCCGGATTAAATCTCGGAGACAGAGTTTTGGGTGAAACAGAAAGAAATAGCTTCATTGCTTTGCCAGGCAGAGGGGGCCACAGCGGGCTAATGCCCTCAAGGCTGTGTGTCCCTCCCTGGAGGGGGTAGTGAGGAGTCTTACAGAGTTCAAGGAACAGGGCGTGGTCAGCTCATGGACATTCTTCTGATTGGTTGGTGGTGAGGTAATTGGGCATCTGCATCATCAACCTTCTGGTTCCAACTGGTTTGGGGTCTACGTGCTTGTGGGCAGCATACAGTTAACTTCTTACACTTGGTGTGGGTTTCAGTATCTGCAAAACAGCTCAAAGGATGTGGCTCAGAATATTATCTAGAGTCCTTGAGGAAGAACTAAAGGTCCTTGACTTTGTTTAATGACTAAAGTATTATTATTTTGTCTTGTTTGACTGTTTTCCTTTCTTTCTGCATTTTCTCACTTCTCTGATTAAATTAATTCTTTGACTAAAGTTTTTCTACAGACAAAAGGCAGGTGGAGGACATGGGTGGGAGTCTATTCTGAGAAGGCCTCATAGGGTCCTGCTGGGTCACACTAGCAGGATGGGTGTCACTAATCTGTGTGAAGGAATTACATCCACGTAATCACATACCTCCTGACACTTTTGCTGTACTCTATTGACCAGAGCAAGTCACACCAGCCACATTCAAAAGAAGGTGGCCACACAAGAGCTGAATACTGGGAGACAGGGATTGTGGAAGCCACCTTGGAGGTTATCTTCCCAAGAGGGATTCTGGGGTAGGGACACAGGGAGGTGTCAATCCTGGAAGGAGAAATCGAAGGGGATACGGTGAGGAGTCGAGAAAATGACTTTGGTTGGGACATGTTGAGTTTGAGGTACTTTTTTTTTTTTTTTTTTTTTTTGCGGTCCGCGGGCCTCTCACTGTTGTGGCCTCTCCCGTTGCAGAGCACGGGCTCTGGACGCGCAGGCTCAGCGGCCATGGCTCACGGGCCCAGCTGCTCCGTGGCATGTGGGATCTTCCCGGACCGGGGTACAAACCCATGTCCCCTGCATCGGCAGGCGGACTCTCAACCACTGAGCCACCAGCGAAGCCCTTGAGGTACCTTTGAGACATCCAATAGATATCACATGAGTGATTTTTGAACATGTGGATCTGGAGCTGGTAGGAAATATAAATTAACGAACCACGTTTAGATGAGTGGTAATTCAAGCCAAGTGTGGATGAGATTTGCCGACGAAGGGAGTGTGGCATGAGGAGGACCCAGGTTCAAGTCTTAAAGAATTCCGTCAGTTAATCGCCGGGCAGAAGACGTGGGCCTGCAAAGCAGAGAACAGGCGTCAAACCAGGAGAGGGATGTGTTCCACAAACCAAAGGGAAA